AGCGCCTTCGAGGATGCGTCGGGTGGGATAAAGCACTAGGGCTAAACATTTTGGGTGGGGGAGGAGGCCGTCTGTCGGTCCTTTTCAGGGCTAGTAGGAGGACTGTGGTCCAATTCTCAGAATTTTGCTGTGGGGGAAACGGGAGTACCCCGAGAAACCTACTTCTCACCTATTATAAGAAGCTGAACTTTATTTACTATGGCTGGAATACAACTTGCAGTAGGTCTCTTTTTCGATGGTCTTGATTTCCTAAGTTGATCCATATTTCTTGTTTTCTAATACCGTTAAGTACAAGGGATATCCCCATCTTGGAAATTCAAAAATCCCATATCTGGATGATCGTAATGTAAGAATATTTTGTGTTGGAAAGGGTTGTTACATAATCTTCCCAAAAACGATACATTTTCTTTGCCATTACACTATCTAGGAAACACCAAACTATCAAAATGTAATTCTGATACATTCCGTTCCACCACAACGTTATATTGGCTGTTTTTGTTGAATGATTTGGTGACTTGCATGTTTCAGATCGTTTCAGTATAACGTACTCAAATCTGTACGTTTAGACATTTTCTCTGTATAGTGATTGAAAATATCTTCAGCCACGTAGCGGGAAGTTCCTGAAGCTGCTGTAGGCTACAGGATTGTTAACGATTTCGAAGAGTTACTGTTATATATATATATATAAATAATTAAAAATCAAAAGTTCACACGAGAACATTTGTTACTATTTTCTTCTGCGTAAGTACACTTAGATTAATACTTCTCTAACGGTTGCTCAAACTAACTGCAGATAATATTACTATGGCGTCTCTATTAGCCTAATATTACTCAGTCTTCCTTTAGGGTAACTATAGATAACAATGTTATGTCCTCTCAAGTCATCAGACATTACTACACTCGATGTGTTCCTACAGGGGAACTGTAGATAACAGTGTTATGTCCCCTCTAGTCGTCAGACATCAATATACTCGATGTCTTTCCATAGGGTAACTGTATATAACAGTGTTATGTCCTCTCTAGTCGTCAGACATTACTACACTCGATGTCTTTCTATAGGGTAACTGTAGATAACAGTGTTATGTCCCCTCTAGTCATCAGACATTACTACACTCGATGTCTTCATATAGGATTACTGTATATAACAGTGTTATGTCCTCTCTAGTCGTCAGACATTACTACACTTGATGTCTTTCTATAGGGTAACTGTAGATAACAGTGTTATGTCCCCTCTAGTCATCAGACATTACTACACTCGATGTCTTCCTGTAGGATTACTGTATATAACAGTGTTATGTCCTTTCTAGTCGTCAGACATTACTACTCTCGATGTCTTCCTGTAGGATTACTGTATATAACAGTGTTATGTCCTTTCTAGTCGTCAGACATTACTACACTCGATGTCTTTCTATAGGGTAACTGTAGATAACAGTGTTATGTCCCCTCTAGTCGTCAGACATTACTACACTCGATGTCTTCCTGTAGGATTACTGTATATAACAGTGTTATGTCCCCTCTAGTCGTCAGACATTACTACACTCGATGTCTTCATATAGGATTACTGTATATAACAGTGTTATGTCCTCTCAAGTCATCAGACATTACTACACTCGATGTCTTCCTGTAGGATTACTGTATATAACAGTGATATGTCCTCTCTAGTCGTCAGACATTACTACACTCGATGTCTTCATATAGGATTACTGTATATAACAGTGTTATGTCCTCTCTAGTCGTCAGACATTACTACACTCGATGTCTTTCTATGGAATCACTTGGAAAGTCATGTACGATGAGCGTTATGATTTATAATCAATATTTCATGTCCATCCGGGTGGTTGTATATATTGTTTTAGTATGTTGTAGTAGACTCTCAAACTCCTTTTAAAATTCTTCTCCCCCTCTCCCCTAGAAAAAACGTGTAATTAGACTATGCATTGCCTCCAGATTTTTGAGACTTAACTTTCTAACTTCAAGTTGTAACAAATGAGAAACTTCAACGGCTGGAATACAATTCAAACCGCAATGTTTTACCATCTGCTATTACTGTGTGATGAATAGAAAGTCAGAGATTTATATCAAATATTCTTTATTGTATAACAGAGTTTTTACTTACATGTCGATGCATTGTTTTTCTTTACGTTGTGTTCTCCTAGTAATGCCTTTTCTTGTTCATTGTTGTTACATATGGTTCCATTCAACTGACCATTTAGTTGCATAAGCGCTACCTGGCGCTGTGCAGAGAAGTAGGACTTGGGTAGTTTGCGAGGGAAGGAAGCCATTGGGAAAACTGAGAGAAATAATGTTCCACCAACCATACATAGGCCTAACCACCAGGCTCCAATCCACTGTGGGTCGTCTGGTGTAAGATGCTTAGCAGTTTCTGCAATATGATAAAGTAAAAATAAAAATAGCATTGTGATACTCCCTCTAGTGGTGAATATCTACGATTGTCAATAACATTTGTAATACTCTCTCTAGTGGTGAATATCTATGCTGTTCAATAACATTTGTAATACTCCCTCTAGTGGTAAATATCTACGATGTTCAATAACATTTGTAATACTCCCTCTAGTGGTAAATATATACCATGTTCAATAACTTTTGTAATACTCCCTCTAGTGGTAAATATCTACAATGTTCAATAACATTTGTAATACTCCCTCTAGTGGTAAATATATACCATGTTCAATAACATTTGTAATACTCCATCTAGCATTGAATATCTATTATGATTATTAGCACTTGCAAAATTCCTTCTAGCGGCTCCCCAGTGGCACAGCGGTATGTCTGCGGACTTACAACGCTAGAATCTGGGTTTCGATGCTCGTGGTGGGCAGAGCACAGATAGCCCATTGTGTAGCTTTGTGCTTAATTATAAACAAACAAACCTTCAAGTGGATAATAGTGTAATATTTAATAGTATTTGTGATACTCCATCTAGTGGTGAATATATATAATAGTTAATAACATTTGTGATACTCCATCTAGTGGTGAATATATAATAATTAATAGCATTTGTGATACTCCATCTGGTGGTGAATATATATAATAGTTAATAACATTTGTGATACTCCATCTAGTGGTGAATATATATAATAGTTAATAACATTTGTGATACTCCATCTAGTGGTGAATATATATAATAGTTAATAACATTTGTGATACTCCATCTAGTGGTGAATATATGTAATAGTTAATAACATTTGTGATACTCCATCTAGTGGTGAATATATATAATAGTTAATAACATTTGTGATACTCCATCTAGTGGTGAATATATATATAATAGTTAATAACATTTGTGATACTCCATCTAGTGGTGAATATATATAATAGTTAATAACATTTGTGATACTCCATCTAGTGGTGAATATATATAATAGTTAATAACATTTGCGATACTCCCTCTAGTGGTAATTATATATCATTTTAACAGCATTTCTAATACTCCATCTAGCATTGAATATATGTATAATATTTTAGAGCACTTGCATTAACACCTTTAACAGTTAATATCCTACAAATCTAGTATTGTTTTACCTACTCTTGAGATATGGGAAGATTTATGAGCTATTTCGATTTACAGTCTAACACATACAGAAACATATAAACAAGTTGTTTTGTAACAAACTGATGTTTTTCAGAGAGTTTTTAGCATAGTTAATTACTTCTAATGAGATATAATGAAACTTACCAAATGGAAAATTGACATATACTCCAATGCAAAAGGATCCCAAAAGGAAACCGAAGACTGGACCAAATATCCTGACACCGATTGTGATAGCTGAATAACAAGGAAGACAAAACTGTATCTACATTATCCAGCTTCAATAACTGTTTATTTACTGTATCTACCTTGTACAGTTTCAATAACTGTTTATTTACTGTATCTACCTTGTACAGCTTCAATAACTCTTTATTTACTGTATCTACCTTGTACAGTTTCAATAACTGTTTATTTACTGTATCTACCTTGTACAGTTTCAATAACTGTTTATTTACTGTATCTACCTTGTAGAGCTTCAATAACGGTTTTTTAATCCGTCTACGTCGTCTTGATTCAGTCATTGTTTATTTACTCCGTCTACATTGTCTAGATTCAGTCATTGTTTATTTACTCTGTCTACATTGTCTTGATTCAGTCATTGTTTATTTACTCCGTCTACATTGTCTAGATTCAGTCATTGTTTATTTACTCCGTCTACATTGTCTAGATTCAGTCATTGTTTATTTACTCCGTCTACATTGTCTTGAATCAGTCATTGTTTATTTACTCTGTCTACATTGACTTGATTCAGTCATTGTTTATTTACTCCGTCTACATTGTCTTGATTCAGTCATTGTTTATTTACTCCGTCTACATTGTCTTGATTCAGTTATTGTTTATTTACTCCGTCTA